TTTGGCCAAGCGTAAACCAACATGTTCGTACCTGGGCTTGCGTCTGCCTTTCATGCCCGCGCTCCCAAATACATCGTCAAACCCGCAGTCCTCTTGGTTCATTTCTCTTCCGCGGAATCTCGGTTTTCGCACGTACACAGACCTGGTAGGTCACTTGCCTCCTTCCCGCGGATTCCTATACATTCTTACATGTGTCGACCGCTGGACCAGATGGCCAGAAAACGTTCCCGTAACAGACCGCACTACTGAGACTATTACCCAGGCCTTCTTAGATCGGTGGGTCTCGCACTACGGATGCCCATCCATCATTACAACTGACCGAGGAACGCACTTCTGCCGCCGCATTCATACCACAACGTGTCACCCAGCAGCCAACGGTTTAGTTGGACGCTTTCATAGACAGCTTAAACCCTCGCTCTGCCCCTCCTCCGACTCTAACTGGAGCGAAAACATTTCGCTCGTACTATTAGGCATTCGTATCAGCATCAAAGCTGACTTGCAATGTGCACCAGCAGAGCTGGTTTACGGCATAAGGTTACAGTTGTCAGGAGAATTCTTTTCACCTTCCACATCGTCGGGTATGCCTACGCTTAACCTTGTGTCCTCCCTAGCTCAATACGCTAGCTCACTACGCTCGAGTCGGAAGCGTGAGCAGAATAGAGATGTGCAAATGCACAGCGGACGCTCTACCTGCACTGACGTCTTTCTCCGTACCGACGCAGTGTGGCGTCTCTCCAGCCTCCCTACACTGGTCCTTACAGATTCCAGCAACGGACTGCGAAACATTTCACTTCAGACCAGGATGGTCATCGAACATCAGTGTCCATCGACCGTTTCAAAGTGGCTTTCTTGACAAACCACTTTTAACCCATCGTGATGTTAGCACAAAAGCAGTTGCACCTGCGGTGAGTTCCCGAGAACTGGATATCCCGAAGCCCTCAGTTCCCCTTGACTCTCAAGCTACCCCATCTCAACCCCAGACAACCGATAAACCCGGGGGACAGGGCAAAGTTCCGGTCGGTTTTACAGAGTTTGTAAACGTTCGCTGTTTCCATTAACACACTTTTTTGTCTTCAGTAGTAATTGTGCGTCTCATCCACTAACGTTGTGCAAAATGGAGAAACCCAAAACATTTTGAAAACCCGAATAGCATGTTTGCCTGTATTATGCATGTCATGTTTCCTCACCGGCGTCAAGCCACTTCCCCCGACTCTTGCTCACCCCGTCTGAGTTCTGCCTTCCAGATATTTAACCACCGGAACTGCCAACGCAACCCTCGAGTTACTCGTCAGCCGGCTCAGGGCTCCTTCCTGACACAAGGACCAGTCAGTCGTCCTCGACGGCGGACGGCCACGAACGGATTGGTCCCTAAACGCCTGGCTACGCGTTGCTGACGAGGACGCACGATTTGTTCATGGGACGAGGACGGTGAACTGGAATGCAGTGGGGGAGTGACATATCCCAAGTGCACCGTCTGGTCTGCAGCGGGGGGAATGTCTTGTAGGCCTACTTTTCTGGACTATCCAGTTTTTTTACAGTCAGACCAGCCTATCCCGATGGCCCACCCATGATGCACTCCGATCTACATGGTCATCATGAATAAATAGTAACAGAAGCCTGAACCCAGCGAACTCTACTACACGCCTCATATTGGAAGCCCGTGTTCCAAACCATGCGACTGTTCGAACCCATCCTCGCCATTTGTTTTACCCACTAACAGCTCCATCGAAGGCTCCCATCCTTCAGAGTTCTAGGGAGAGACACTTCTAGTGTACAGGAAAACACGCTTTCAGTATTTTGCAACATTGAAGTTTACCGTTGTTGTAATCTTTAAAAGGTCCACTTGTTCTATTGACCGCACTTCCGTTGACCCCTAGTTGCTTTGGTGAGTATCTTGCAGCACCATTTCTCGCTCTGGTTGCTTCGCTTCCTATTTTTGTAGCTTGCGCAATGCATGTTGGGTTCAGTCGCCTCCAACTTCTATACTGTCCCGTAGTTGACACTTCTCTTATGTGTTTTTGATTACCGATTAGTATCCCAGGTGCCACCCAACAACCGCTTTTGCAACCTGATCATATTTATCTATCACTCTGCACGTCAAGCTTGTTTTGATTAAAAACTTCGTCAAAGCCCTCAAGCAAGATAGTATTGTGTTCCAGTGCGTGAAACAAGTGTTTCCGAATATTACTGATGCGAGGTTCAAAGAATAGATAATTACTGGGCCTGCTATTCGACAGATAATGGTAGACAGTGCTTTCGAATGCTAGTTGACTTCATTTGAGTTGGAAGCGTGACGATCATGCAAGGCACTGTGTACAGGATTTTTAGGCAGAACAAAGGCAGAAAACTACAATCACAGGAAGCTCATTGCAGACTATCGGGCTGTTGATGGTCGAATGTCGCTCAAGTTGCACATTTTGCGTAATCACCTTGACTATTTCCCCGATAACTTGGGATCTGTTAGCGATGAGCATGGCGAGCAATTTCACTGAGACATTTCAGTCATGGAGCAGCGCCACAGTGACATGTAGACGTCTTCTATGGTGGGTGACTTTTGCTGGTTTCTGCAGCATGAAGGCGCTGGAGCACACAGGCGACGATCTCGGTAAAGTCATCATTTCCCAGTGACCAGCTACAGTCATTAATTAGCGACGAGTGTTGCAGTGATGTTTTAAACGTATTTGCCACATACATGCATACTGTGTATGTTGTGATTCAGTACATTTACATATATGTCGTACGACGTAGCCTTGACGTTACCGAAAATAATCACTTGCCCATAACAATCTAACCTGACGTGCTAGGTAACATCGCAAGAGGTTTCTACGATCAGGAGTGTTTTCTATAACGTAGGGACATTAACATTTCTGTTACAGAAAATAAAGATTTTTTGTTGCAAAGTGTAATCGGTCCAATAAGATCTTGAAAGCAGACAGAAAGGCCATTGATCCATGCAGTAGGCCAGGTCACACTGCAGTACTGCAAACATATTTTGCTATCTATAACCTTTTATCCTTTCGTCTCCATAAGCGCCCGAGACTTTGGAAGGTCAGTTGAACCTTAACAATACTTATGTTAATCCCTTTAGTAATAAGGACTCCAAAGGTGAAGCGACTACCCAGATACGTAAACTAATAGACCAGTTCGAGCAGTTGGTTCATGACTAGGAAGATGACAATTTATCGGCAATTTCTTTAGCAATGCTCTATACTGTGAGATTGGGAAGCATACATCAACGCGTGTAGTGTTACGTCTTGGTTTTATTAACTAACGATCACGTTGCAGCCCGGTCCGGCTCAAAGAGAACAACATCTGCTCACCCCACACAGGAAGAGGTAAAAGTTTATTAAAGTGAATATTCATGATTGTCAGTCGGTGGCCGAGTGTCATGTGGTCCACCTTGAATCAAAAAACTCAGTCTGTGGCTCGAGCAGAAATGTATTATTCATTGAACACAAGCTCTTTTTATATCTCGAGTCAATTAGAACAGCTCACTGATGTAGAACACACATTTCTGTTCAGCTTTCGAGCTTCGTTGTGTCAATCTAATTCGATTGCCTACTATCCTTCAGTTCGCCTCTGCAGCGATCGACAGGTTTTCGGAACTTTGGTACCAAATTGTTAATCATGACCGTTCGATAAACGAGCCGCATGCTCAAAGTGGCATCTCACCATCACACCAAGTTGTCTGCACTCCTGACTTGCAACCATAAAGTCACCGGTTCGAATCCGCATAGTGGCGGACGTCCTCGCGGTATACTCAACACACAAACGACCGTTGCTGGTCCTGCAGTAGCGAAGCGCCCTTACGGCGTACAGCTGACACTTTTTTACTCACGCTTACTACGATTAAAAAGTTGAACAAAAGGGAGAGTTAGGGTAACAACGGTCCAATTCGCTTGACTGGGTGAAATCAGGGGATGGCTTATCGTTACACGACCCGGAAATCTGGAGATACATGTTTTAGAGTGGAACAGCACTTTAGAGTCAGGTTCTTTAAAACTAGGCATAGTTACGTCAAGGCTCAGTTACGAATCTATGTTTTGATACTAATACTACGGATGCGTTTAGCGTACTGAACTCAGTGTCCCCTTAATGTTTCTGCAGTAAACTAATTTACTTCTGGCGAGTTGAAGCTTTGGAACCACACCTTGCACCACTGCGACTGAACACACGTTTTAATGGCCGAGGGATTATTGTTGAAACCAGGTTCAGGGTTTTAGTTTGATACATTTGTTTGGTACTCAGCTCATGAGTTACTTGCCGACATTCATAATCCAAAAGAAAGAAACTAAGAAGAGTTTGCATGACGATAAAAAGGTTGTGACTGTTTTTTGATCACTTGTTTATGCATTTTTATTTCGCAGCATGAGTTAGCTCTATATTTTACTACTATTCTTTAAAAATCTTAATTAGCAAAATCTTTCATGAATATGGAAACCATGTTATTTTTTATCGGTGTGGCAGTGTGAATTGTAAAGGAGATCAAGTACACAGAACACAAATATATCCAGCAGTTAATTTGATAGAATAGTTTTGCTTCAGCTAGTCTGTTATAGTAATCTGGCTGCTCAGATAAACCATTTGACGTACTCTTACATCGTGTATCTTGTTCCTAAGGATCCGGGTCCGACCATTGTACCATCCACCGCCTTTCCTTAATCTAACGAATAGCATTAGTCTAATCAATTGTCATACGTTGCATACAAAATGGGTCTGCAATACTGCCGACAGGACTAGCGGTTTCCGATATGCCTGGAAGTTCGGAGAAACTTATTCATATTCGTCATTCCATATATGGCTTGAACAATCACTGTACTGGCATAAGTGTAAATTGCAGCTTATTAAATTGATCCAACCATGTTCGGCGTTGCACACTTATTATCGGCAGCGTTGGCTCTACCCTACAATGCCACAGTAACAAACATGAATGAGAGTCAGGGTCACAAGGATGCTTATTTGAATTCAAAATAGGACAGTCATCGGACACTTTGACTTACTGAGCCTTTTCGCTAATCTCTTTATAGGTTTGCTTCAACTGCGTGTGTTCCTTCTGATCGTATAACCATTGATATTCAGTATTGGTGCCGCTCTCTTTCATACGTTTTGCGTTATCTGCATGGCACTGTGTTCCCGCGTCTTTGCCTGATGGTTTCTTCAGACGTATTGCTTCAAAGGTTCTGCTTATTTCTCCCGATAAGTCTGCCACCCGTGCCTGAGAATTCAACAGCCTTATATAGGTAAGAAGTTAGTGCGTAAACTGACTTTTGACGGAGTTCCTCTATTTCTTGCTGTAACTCAAAATTCTTGTCCTCCAGCTCTGCATACCTGGTCTCCTGTTCTTTTGACTGCATTATTTCTCGATCGCAACTTTCCTTTAAAAGCATTATCAGTTTGGATTGCTCATTTAATCTGTTTTTGACCGTTGACAAGTCATTAAAATCTGGTTCCGCTTCCTCTTTTATTAGCATTATCTTGCAGGAGACTGAAAAATTTTAAGATCGATATCAGTATTTAAGTATAAGTGCGCGTTGTCCCTAACATCACTTGGAATGCAGAGGTCATCTTGCCAAACGAAAGATATGTGAGATACGCTGTTACGAATTTCGTCTAGGGCTTACTTGAAGGGTCCCTAATTTGCGTAAGATTGCGTTTGTCATGCTTTAGTGCACAAAGCATAATAGCTGATGTGCAGATATCGTATTTGAACCTATCCCGCGACATTTGTGGTGAGCGCAGAACGAGCTAGCCACGAGTCAAGATCCACTGGTGTTCGATTTAGGACCAACATGCATCACAAAATCGTAGTCCTGATGTTTTAATTATAGTGCTTTGTTACCTACACATCACTTGTCTCGTGTCTTTCTCTTTAATTTTGTTAGACATTTTTCAACCACGATTGCTTTTGCTTCGAATCTTGCGTTAGATTCTATTTTATGAGTACACCGTAGTTGTGGTTCTTAAACTGCACCGTAATATAACAACCGAGAATGAACATGGGGTTAGTGGAAAATAACAACGAAAGCTGTAAAAAAGACGATTTTGTCGAAACCATCCTATAGTATCCCGCATAAACCTCAAACACGGGCGGTTCCGCACACTTAAGCATGGTGATTGTGTACACATGATCCATCTCATTGTGGCTAGGGTTTCTCGATACCACTCGAAATATAGCATATTCCGTCTGTTTTCGTCTAATTCAAAATCAGTTAAAGAAGCGAGATCACAAGTCAGCAGCCAATTGGAACATAAAAGAATCAATAAACTTGGAATGTTGGTACTCCGGCGATTTTTGCGGCATTCAGGACAGACTTAGATATAACTAAGTCTCTGATGAGAAGTATACTTTTAACCAGATAGGATGTGGATGTCATCTTGAAATTTAACGCATGGCTTGAAGTGCTCCACTATAGCCAATAACGTGCGGTTACTCGTCCGAAAAGGCAGGTGTGAACCTTGTCGTCGCAATGCCAGAAGGAACAGGTGGGCGTCGGTGATTTATTCTTTATAATCACCTTTTTAGCAAAGTAGTGGGCAAAGGCTCTTGTTATACTGGCTGATAGAGTTAATGTGGAAATCGCGGCAATGAACCACTGAGCATCTTCTTGAGTGATCACATGATTGCTCATTTTGTGCACCCGGAAATCGTTCTGGAGTGTACCAACTATATCGTGGACCAGCCAACAGACACAATTTCAGCACTTACAGCGGAACCGATGCTCTCATACCCAAGGGCTTTTATGGTGGCAGCGTTTATTGCTAGAATTGTGTGAGTACATTGCATGGAGCATGGATGTTTTTTCAATGAATTTTGGGTTAAGCAACCTAGTGTAATTAGTTTAAGCTAGCTTAAATTTGTGAACAACCGCAACTACAACCTTTCCTGTAGTCAAAATTACTGAGTGTTACACTGAGCCAATGCCACGCTCCGGCAGGCATCATTCATTTCTATTAGACAGCAGGCAAACACAGCCCCTAGGTCAAACATGATATGGTACATGTGTAGTGTACCTTTCACATTTTGCTACACAACCTTCCGGTCAGCTGAGAATATCACCAGCTGTATCAACTATTCTTTCAAACACCTCATACACTTCATTATCGACCAACATTTCTTTCGAATCGCCGGCTGACGCTAGACCACCTCGTGTTCAAGATCTGGGAGCCCCAAAGTGCAATCATGGGAATACACATTTTCAATCCCTTTCGGCATCCAAGAATGATGGATTATTAATCCAAGAACTCCGCAACCTAAAAGCGTTACCACAATAAGTGGATACGATAAGTGGTGACCACGTTGCAAAGTGGTGACCCCGACGATACATGTAACTGCGCCAGCTCCACTCTATTTGTTTGCACATGAAATTGGGTCAAACGATGGGTCTCCAAAAGGTCAAAACGGTAACCAAGCTGTGTTGGATAGCTTTTCGGGCGCTTGATCACGTAAATTAAATTGGGTTGACTGCAATGAAGGTTGAATTATAACCTAACTGGTTGATATGGACTTTGGACTTTTTCAGACGAACTTCCAATCGGTTAACGGAGTAACGCGCAATTCCGCTTTCATACAACGGTCAAACATCGCCCAGATACGGTTTTTATTAGGCATGCGATTTGTTGGTCAGTTTCAGTGACGACATCTTGTTTAACAATGGACACGGTTGCGAACTCGCACCTGCGCATCTATCAGTTCTTTTCACTCGTGGAAAAGGCTGGCATGACATGTTCAGTTATTTCCCACCCCCACTTTTCAACTATCCAAGCTGATATCGCACTCTGTGATATATCTGATGGTTACACCACTCAACAAACTCACTTGGTCCTACAATAACCTGCCTGTTTTCTTCGCGATGCGATGTGAAACTTTTATGGTTTTGAAAGCAGAGAGTGTTTCGTTCAGTTTGATACTGTTTTCGATTCCAATTATTTCTGGTGAATCCGTCTTTCGTGAATTAGTTGATGCATTTACTTGTGGAGCGTACATAACTCTCACAAGTTCGGCAAGTCATATCACAGACATGCTAGTTTTCCGAATAAAGAAACCCTATCCACATTTTCTAAGGTTGATCATAAACGAGTAAGACGCGACAGACGCCGGCACAAAGTGGACAATATGCTAAACATATCACTCGGACAAGACTTACTGGAAGCCAGTCCCGTGTCTGCCTTGCGTTAGAATCAGACATCGCTTCAACCCCCGTTTGAACGAGTAGTCTTACGTACGTGCACACATATTTTGCCTAGACTTTGAGTACCCACGAGTCCCTATGCGCTCCCAGTGGCATGTGCTATATAACCAGGTAAGTACAAAATAAGCCAGCAAGTTGATCTGAACATGTCATTTTTTACTAAGCAGTTATGAAAAAGTAAGCGGATACGTAGCTTCGCAGTACGATATCCCATGACACTGATCTCATTGGTTGCTGCTCTGGCAATGTCTTCAAGTAACCACAACCTCCATTCCGTCTGTGTCATGAGGTGCTGGGACCCCGGGACAAAAGTTCATCGTAGTGCAGTCTCATTTCACTCTTCACTCCGGTCTTCACCACCTACCAAGCATCTTCAATAGGGTTGCGAAACGAGGAATATATACTCAACATCAGAATGGTTACCCCTTCGTATCCTTCTACTGACGGTTGTTTTTCCAAACGTACGTGACATGGTGAATTGTCACATACTACGACAACCTGCCGCTTCAGCTTGTCTAAATTGCTTGACAGCCATTCGAGCGATAGGGGACAGTGAATGAGCAATCTCAGGTAGTTATCGACACTTTTCCTTTCATTGTGAGTGCACCGATCAAATGCGAATTGAGGCATCTACTGTTGGCTACTTTGAAACAGGTCCTCAATTCTCTGGGCGCCCGAGCACGAGTATGTTTCCAATAAACGTTGAGGATTGTTTCTTTCTTCAAGATGAAGAACTTTCCATTACTTGCAATTGTGAGAAACTGCTAAACAAACGCCCTTCGTATTTCTTTGCTTCACTCATTTTTCATTCCTTAGGGCATCTGATAGGTGCGCTTCATAGTTATAAAACGGCCATCCAGGTGTGCGGTTGTCGACTTTGAAGTGCCCTTTCCAATATCTGCCCGTACTTGTACTGGCACCTCGTGTAGTGTGAGATTTGAGTCCTTTGCGATCCACTCCAGGATAGCATCTACGAGTACCTGGAACCGAAGGTTGCGTATTACCCGGGTCCTGTTCAAGCAGACGCAGAAGCCATGTGTAGACCGTTTGCTATTTGACCTCTTTTACAGTTACTAAGACCTATTGTAGAGGGGCCGCTTCCAAGAATGGCTCTGGGGAGCTCTTCGGAGCTAGCTGAGAGCGGATCGCGAAAGACGGCTAGCGACGAGCCTGGGCCCGGAACTACGGAGCGGGAATATGTGGACAGCGCAATAAATCAGACATATACGCCGCTAGCGCAGCCCACAGGACCGAGGCCGAGCCGATTGACACAGCCCAGAACAAGCAAGTCGAGAGCTTTCGAACGACTCCTGGCCGATCCAAATTGGGTACAGAGAAGTGGAGATCGAGGCGAAAACAGGAAGGCGGGACTTCCAAGTCAGAGCTCCCGTACCTGTGTTGCGTGGTGGGACGGAAATCCAGTCGATATTCGATGGCGCGCGTGAGACCCTTATGTGCCCATTTTCGGTGTGCAATAAACGTCTACCCCCTTGTTTTGTCGTTCTCGCTACACTATGACAAAAGTATCCACAACTCAGCCACGGATTTCTGACATGATACTCTGTCAAACACAAGGAGACATGCTGACAACGCTGGACATCGATTTGGTTGTGTGTTACGCCAGTTCACTGCTCTCAGTTCAATTGTGATCCAACGTTTCGAACTTGTGGGAGACATACTAGCTCGTTGCACCGCTGATGTCGATGGCCTCTAAGGTTCATTCGCAAGTATCACCCAGTCAGTGGGCAGCGGGTACACTTGACCTGACGGACGCATCAACTCTCAGCATTCGGCCAGTGAGAATACAGTCATGTGACAATGTGGGTTAGGGAATTGGCTCAGAGCTGCTGGAGAATCGCGCGGGGTAGTGTAAAATTTTGAAAAATTTTTGCAGAAATTTGGACCTTCATTGCAAAATTTTACACTTACTTTGCAAAATTTTGGAATATTTTATGCAAGTTGGCAGGAGATGTCAAAGATCAGTTATCAATAGTATTTTTCATCCTCACAACATGCTACGGTTTTCATCTTGTCGTTGATTGGGACACATTTAAGTGGTAAAGTGTCCGTACCGGACATTGTCTCGAAATGTGAAGCAAATGCCATAGTTCGGTGCACGTTGGAGATCAGTAGTTCAGAAACTGAAGTTCCCAAAGCAGGCGAATCGTCAGTCGGCTTAAGCCTGCGTTTGACATTCTCAAAAATCATTTTGATATATCTGTTGCAGTTGGTGATACGTGTGTTTCTTAAGCTGCACGAATCTTTCGTTTTACTGGGTTGCAGTGATTATGCTGCAT